TTTTAATATTTTTATATATTTTCCATATTTATATTCCTTTTTCTATATTTCCTTTAAATCTTAGACCTTTTCTATAGATTTACAGATATTCTATTTTTAGATGTACTTTACATGTCTTTTATCTATTCTTACCTATTTTTGTCTAGTGGGCATATCTTACATATTAGATACATTTTAGATGCTTTTTAGGTATATTTTATGTATTTTATGTATACTTTAGAGATTTTTATATATATTATAAGCCCTGATAGATTTAATTCTCAGATTTTGTCCCAAGACAACAGATCTGCTTCACCCACACGGAAGCAGCAGAATTCCATGATTTTAATTTTATTAACATTATTATTAAATCCCTGCACTTCCTTCCCTACAAAACGCCCTCCAAACATGCCCGCAGAGCTCCCAAAGTTTTCCAAGCACTAGCTGAACAGTCCCTGAAATTCCTTGAAGCCCCGAATTCCTCCTATTTCCCAGGCATTCGGTGCGGGCGAAATTCCGGTGGTGTCCCCTTTAAAGATCCGCCCGTTCCCACGTTTCGCTCCGCTCCCGAAGGTTTCCTTCCCGGGTTATTTTTAGGGATGAGCAGCTAATGATGAGGGAGGTCGCACGGATGGATCCTGCAAATCCCTGTTCCCTTGAATCCCTTGCAGCAAAGTCTCCTGGGAGGGGACATGGACATCGGCACCCCCGGAGCGCTGTCCCCGTCCAAGCCCGGCTCCCAGTACTACCAGTATCCCAGCAATAATCCGCGCCGGAGGCCTCTGCACAGCTCCTCCATGGGTGAGTGACCCCTGCACCTCTGGCCTCCCGCCGCTTCCCGAGGAATCCCACTCTAGCCGAGCGACGGTTGGGAAGGGACACAATAAGTGCTGCGGGAGCGACGCTCCCGGGCGTTATTGCAGCCTCGCCGAGCCTTCAGAATTCCCTGTTTTCCCCGAGCCTGAGGCAAAACCTGCAACTCGTAACACCCACATCCCAAGTATTAACCATTTCCCTGCGTTTTCCCCCTGGAATTCTTTATTCCTTGTTATTTCTGGGGATTTATTTCTTGTTCTTTATTTCTTGTTCTTTCTTTGCTTGTTCTTTATAATTATTGTTGCTCGCCGCAGCGGGAAAGGCACGAGCCGGCAAAATCCTGGGGCAGAAACCAATGGAATCCCTAAAAGTCCTACTGGGAACAGAGTGGGGGAGAAGTCGCTGAGATCCCTAAAAAAATTCCTGCTTTATAAAGCAGCTTTCCCTCCCTTTTTTTTCCAGAAGTTCAGACAAAGAAAGTTCGGAAAGTTCCTCCGGGTTTGCCGTCCTCAGTAAGTATCGCGCGCTCCGGAGGCTTTGTTTGGGAACAGGGGGATGGAAGGAGCCTGTTCCCGAGGGATGAGGCTCAGGGAAAGGTGAGGAATGCCCAGAGCCTCGACCTGGAAAGCTTGGAGCCGGGAATGTGGCGCTCCAGGAGTGTGTTCCCTGGGAATGTGGCTCTCCGGGAATGCGGTACCTGCTCTGGGCACGTGCCCTTTGTGGGGCTGATTGATGGATCGGCGGCGGGAAGAATTAATGAGGAATTCCCTGGGAATCGTCCCCGGGATGCAGGAGAACTCCCCTGGCATTCCAGAGGGATGCAGGATGGCAGCCCTGGCATTCCAGAGCTCCGGGAGCTGCGGGGGGGGTCCAGGTGCCAAGCGCTGCCTTCCAGGTGTTCCAGAGGCTCATTAATGCCCCTTATCCCGGTTTTCCCCCCGAATTCTCAGGAATATCCCCAAGCCCCTCAGTCTGTTGACGATCACAGGCACGTTTGTCGTGTTTTTCTGGAATTTTTCCATTTTCCAGCCAGAAATCGCTGGGTTTCTCCACTAAATCCTTTGTTCCACGCTGCTAAGAATTCTACAATTAATTCCAATTTCTGGATTATTTTGTGAAATCTTCGTGGGGTTTTTCCCCCCAGAAGCCATTCCAAAGTGCTTTTATTTCAAATCCATGCAGATCTGTGGAAAAGCAAAGTTTTGTGAGAAATGACCCAACATTTCAGTCCCAAAATTATGGCTAAACTTGCATTTGATTGGAAGGTTTGAATTTTTTATTCCAATTTTTTCATTATCTTTAAAATATATTAATAATCATTTGCATCTTATTTGCAAATCAATATCAAATAAACCCCCAGAAGAGAAAACCTTCCCTTTCCTACCTGAGAAATCCCATTCTCTGGGCTCTGAATCTGATTATTATTGGCAATTAATCCGTGGGAATATGTAATAAATTAATAATAGAATATATACAAATGAATCTCCCATGGATTTGGTGATTTTATCCGAAATCCCTGGAAATTGGCAGTTGGCAAATATGTTTATATCTATAAAATATATCTAATTATAAAGCTCTAAATTATAAATATCAAGTTGCTAAATTATTTTCGTTAATGATCACTTTATAATCAATAAAATTCCAATTAAAACAGGGAAATACATAGAAACATCCACATTTCTTCCCATGGATTAATCAAATCCTGATCCAATGGATTAAATACAAACATTGTCAGTGGTTAAAATACAAGATTATAGAAATATTCAAATACAGCCCCCAGTCAAGGAATAACATCCATTATTTGGAATTAAAAACCAAGTCCCAAAAGTGCCTTTGGAATTTCTTTCCCTCGGGGCTTTTTGGGGCTCGATTTTCTTGGACGCTTGAAATGCTTGGAATTATGTCATGAGGAAATCTGCCATCCCAGCTATTCCTGAATATTGGAATCCCTCAAAACACCATTTTCTGGGAATAAATGGATCAAAAGGTAGGTCCTGGAAGGGGAATTAAAGCACGGAATGATGGAAATAGGGACTTTTTGAAGGGGAAATGGGGAGATTTGGGGCATTTTGGGTTCTGATATCCTGGAATCACCTCTTTAATTTGGAATTTATTTAGGATGGATACACGGATCGACATCCTTAGTGGGTGGGGTGGGAATGTTCTGGGATTTCTCTTAAAATGTGGCTTTTCCCATGGGATTTGTGCCGGGAACAGGGAGCAGCATCGGTGAATAGCCCTCACTTATCGGGGGTTACATCAGCAGCAGGTGGAAATTCCAGGGATACACGGGAATAAATGTGCTGGAGCAGCTCCTCCTTTATTCGGGAAGCGGCAGCGAGTTTGGAAAACAAAATCCATGAAACAATGGGAACAATCAGTTGGCAAATAAGGAATTCGAGGTGAACGGGGGGAGACTCTTAGCAGGGGTTTCAGGGGGTGATCCCAGGCCGGGATGAGCTGGAATCCAGGTGTGGATTCCCAACACTTGGTCAGGATGTGGCTGCGTCCCTCAAAACCCGCCCGCTTTTCCAATGCCGTGGGATTTTCCCGGTCGCCGCCAGAATCCGAAGTGCTCTGGGGTGGGGGTTTGGGATTGGCTTCATCCAGCATATTCCCAGGGTTGGATCTTCCCAGGTGGAGCTTCTCCCACCTTGTAGAGGTTTTCCGTGGTCCTTCTCCGTGGACACTTTTCCTTTACAACTCCAAGGCCTCCTGCTCCCGGGGCTCCGTGGGCAGAGGCATGGATGTGGTGGATCCCGGTTTCCGGCAGATCCCATGTCCTGCTCGGCCCATGGGGAAGGGATCCATGGAGAAGGAGCTACTCCAGCTTCCCCCCCACTGGGAGCAAACCCTAAGTAGGTGATGGCGCTGTTCTGGTACCCCAGCTCTCCATCCAGCCGGATCCTTGGAATTCCAGGAGCAGCACTGAGGGGGATGTTTGGAGAGCCGCTTTCCTGGGATTCCCTGGAGGTGATTTGTGGTGGGAATGGGTGATCCTGGAGGTCTTTTCCAATCTGAACTGTTCCGTGGTTCCGTCCTTGTTCCCTCCCTGAGCAGCTGGAGTGTCCCTGAGTGTCCCCAATCCCGGGATCCTCGGGTGGGAAAATTCCTCAGGTGTGGAGGCTCCTCACATGGAACCATCTCCTTGGAAGTGGCTCCTGGGTGAGGGACCTTTCCCTAAAATCCAGCCTGGGTGAGGGATCCCGCTCCAGGGGTCTTTGAGGATCAGTGGGATGGGTGAGGCCTCCTCGGCACAGAGAGGCCTTCCTGGACACAGATCCAAGGAAAGGAGGGAAAATGGGAGCGAAAACTTGGAAGCACCTCTGTGGTGTTGTTTTAAAATGGATTAAGAGGCACAAAAATTCCCATAAAAATTATTTGGTAGGTTTTAAGGAATTGCATGGGATATCCCCAACATGGAAAAGCGACTGGAATGGGATGTGGATGCTCCAATATTTGTATTTTCCTGGGAAATCGACCCATTTTGGGATATTAAGGTATTTTGGGCTCCCAAAAAATCTCTCTCAAATCCAGGAGTGAATCTTCCCGGTTGGGATTAGTGGGATCTGGTTTAGCTGGGACAGAGACTCCCTCTTCAGTAAACTGTGGGAAGTGCACAAGGATTCAGGAAGGATTTGTCCAAAAAATTCCAGGTTCTTTCAGAATTCCTGCAAAACCAGACTCAGGGGCTCCAGGGCAATATTTTTAAGGAAGTTCCTGGAAATTTGGAACCAGGAATTCTATTTGTTCTTTGGGATGAGGGTCCAGAAAATACCTTGGATATAAATTAATATTAATTAAATATAATGAATAAATATTCAAATCCGTAGGAATTCCATATCCAGCTTCCAACACTTTGTTTCTCTAATTACATCATTTATAATTTGGTTTTCTTGTGGGAATTCAGCTGAGTTTCCCAAGTGGAAACCCCAGGACTTAATTGAATATAGAAACACTCCAATCCTCTCTTGGATCTGGCTCTTCCCACGTGGATTTGGGAAAGGAAGGATTCTGGGGGCAGGGATGGATTCATTTCATCCCTTTATTTGATTCCTCGAGGTTTTTCTTCCTATGCAGAAGGGATTGGACATGGGATGGGAGTGGAGGGCGGGATGCTAAGGAAGGAGTTATCTCTGGAAGGGAGAAGAATTCCTTCCCCATATCCCATCTAAACCAGTGGGAAGCATTCCCTGTGTCCTGTCCCTCCATCCCTTGTCCCGAGTCCCTCTCCAGCTTCTCATGGAGCCCCTTTAGGCCCTGGAAGGGCCTCCAAGGCCTCCCTGGGACCAGGACCGGGATTAGGAGCAGGAGCAGAACCAGGGCTGGGACCAGGACTGGGAGAAGGAGTGGGATCGAGACCAGAAGTAAAACCAGGATGAGGATTGGGACCAGGAGCAGGGGCTGGGAGTGGGAACCAAGTCAGGAACAGGACTGGGAGCAGGAGCAGGACTGGGAGCGGGATCCAGGAGCAGGACTTGGAGCAGGAGCAGGATTAGGAGGAGGACGTGGAGTGGGACCAAGAGCAGAACTGGGATTAGGACCAGGAGCAGAAGCAGGAGCCGGAGCAGGCCTGGGATTGGCAGCAGGTGGGACATTCCCCGTTCCCCTCTCTCCTCTGGGTTCCCAGACCCCTCCGAGGCCCAGCTCCCGGGATTGTCCCTGTGCCAGCCCCGTCCCCTTCTCCCGCTCCCGCGGTGCTGCAGCCCCTCACTCGGCGCTCCTGGTTCATTTGGGATTCAGGGAGGGTGTTTTTTGTGGAAAGGCGTTTCCCTCGCTGACCCCGGAGCATCTGTTCCGATTATTTTTTTCCCGAGCCTCCTTTGGCATTGGGGAAGTGTTAATGTCTCTCGGATCTGTTGAACGCTATTTAGGGATATTTATGATCACCTCTTGCTTTCCGGGGGGAAAGTGTGCCGGGATTTTTCCTTCCCAGGCAGCCGGGGAAGGCTTGGGATGAGGGAACAGCTTGCTCGGAACATGTGCTTCCCGTGACAGTAAAAAGAACAAATCCCATCCAGTTGGGGGAATCGATGCGCAAAGCGGGAGCTTTAGGCCTGGCCTGGCCTGGAATCGCTTCCCAAATTCCATGTAAAACTCGGCAACAGGGATCTGTCAGTGTTTTCCAAGCGGTTTCGCTGCTTCCAGCCTCCACTTTTGCCTCTTAAATTGGGGAAATTGGAGCATTGGATACTCCTTCCTGATCCTAAAAGCAACGAGGAATCAGGAAGGAAGGGCTTGGAAAAGTGAATGGATTCAAAGGGAGGAATTGTGAAATCCTGGAATGGTTTGGTTTGGAATTATAGAGTCATGGAATGGTTTGGCTGGGAATCACAGTGGGTTGGAATCATAGAATCCTGGAATGGTTTGGTTTGGAATCAGAGTCCTGGAATGGGTTGGGTTGGAATTGTAGAATCCTGGAGTAGTTTGGGTTGGAATAACAGTCTTGGAATGGTTTGGCTTGGAATCACAGTCCTGGAATGGTTTGGGTGGGAAGGGATTTTAAGGATCA